GCTCAGTTACTTCGCCCACCTTACTTGCGCTTTTAGGTGAGTTTTCACTTTGCGTTCTTGGGCTTTTCACCTCTGGGTTGTGGTTACAAGTTGATATTGTCATACAACAGAGTAACTTTATATCGAGAGTGTGTATAGATCGTTTCGGTGAGGGCTCAGGGCTCAAAAGGACAGCCAATTTAGATAATTTGAATTCATAGGTTTGCTGCCCTTTTGGGCTCTTACTTTATTCGTGGAGACATTGGTGAAGGCCTGATGGATTCTCGGAGTTTCTCTGTCATACACTGGAGACGGAGTTCTTAAGTAACCCAGCTTTTCGGTTGAAGAGGTATAATATAAGGTATTTCTTCAAGAGTCAAATTTTTATTCGACTAGCTGCGTCCTAGGATTGCTGAGCGAATTTTGAGTTCATGCAAGGGGTATAGTTCTTCATTTATTTTTCTCATTGAGAAATTCTTTAAAAAACTGAAAATGAAGCTTTCAAAAACGAAACTGAATAAATATTACATCCTACCTACAGGACCACTAGTGCGGGTTTTCCAAGTTTGGCGTCACATGTTGTCTGGTATAAGATCCGTGAATTCAATTTCGGAAGCTCCGTTTCTTTGACTGATGAATTGGTTTTTTTCTTCTTCGACTTGAATTGGCGCCGCATGCTTTTTTGTGGTATCTCTCTCGAAATTCAGGCGCATTGAAGGCAGCAGCTTCCTCGTAATCTTGTAAATGGACTGCACTACGCTCTTGAGTCCACGTCAAATAGGATTACGCACTCTTAGAGTGTCTCAGGAAATCCGCCGTCTTGATTTGTGTATTTACTCGCTATGCTAACCGAAGAAAGCTGATCTTCTATCGCTCTTTAAAAACGCGTAAACCTATTGGACGTGTGTTGTAAGAAACAACTGATTTTGACTCATCTGTTAAATTACACTTCCAGGACCTTATGTCCACCTACCTTTTGTCCATTAAATACATATAAATGTCCACCGCTATTTATGTCCACTAAACATTAAGTCCAGTCTATATTAAGTCCACATGATTTAATGTCCAACCATGAATATGTCCGAAATTGTCCAAATTGTGGACATGTTATGTCCACATTTTGTTCTTCTCATTTAAATGACAGAACCATCTCAAAAATAAATGCGTACTACTACTAGGTACCTTCATTCTTAAAAACATTTCATTCATGAATCAAGTCATGAAAGAGTTAGTTAGTTAGTTATTATAATTTTAAGACATTCAGCGACTCAGGCTATTAACGTCTTTACAGATAATTTTGAAAATAGGAGTATAAACGAAAATTTAGATTTTTAAATTAAGAGAGGTGAAGAGTTTAAGAATTTTGGTGGTAATATTAGGTTCATCGCATGTAAGAGGGTTTGTATTTCTGAACAGACTCTAAGAGCAGATAAAAACATATGTTCATGTGTACACTGTGCGGATATGATAAGATGAAAACCGAAGCGGGAGCCTAGGAAACGCTTCAATGCCAAATTAAACATTTTTCAGTAACAGATGCTGTCAAAATTGAAAGTCCTCTTTAACTAGTCATTTCGTGCGCCTTCAATCTTGTAGGACACTGTGCAATGCCTCCGACGCGAAATAGTTGCTTAAAGCGTTGCGGCGCGGCAGACAACCAGCGTGACACCCGCATAGGTGCCTACAAACCTAACGAGATACTTCACGCGTTGCGCAATGCGTGAAGTATCCCGTTAGGTTTGTAGGCGCCAGTGCGCGTTCTGCGCTGCTAACACGCCGCTCCGCTCTGTGTTAGGCTCTAATATTTAAACTCGCGGAGTCAGCGTTTTTCAACTCGTGATTTTGAAATGTTTGCACTCTCTGAATTGATTATTCACTTTTAAACTGATGAAAAAGAAATATGTACTACTGGAAAATATAATGTGTTTTTTGTAGATAGAAGAGTAGCTCCGTGTCAAGTTTAATGATTTCCAAAGCATTCAAATTTATTCTTTTATGTTTTGGGCTTTTACTGTGCATTATTTAAATCATAAATTTATATAGAATAAATATTCCTGATTTTTCCACAAACTCCTGCATACTCCTCTATAACAACAATAAAAATGGAAAGAATAAAAATTGTAAAGTAGTGAAAAGAAATATATGAATCAAAATAAACGAAAAAATCGAAGACAAACTGGATTGCATTTTGCAAAAAGGAACCAAGAGCCATCCAATGTTGCTAAGATTATGCATCATGCATTCCTTCCGAAAAAAATTATTGAATACCTGCAGAAAATCAAATCTACAGGGTAATTTTCAGCTTGAAATTGTAGTTTATTGGGAGTAACATAAACTTGTTTAGATGATCAGTTTATATTTGTGAGGTAAAAAAAATGGCACAATCCGAGCAACATTGGAATGCTCTTGGTTTTCTTTTTGCAAAATGCAATCCAACTGTTATTCCACATAAAAATAATAGTTTAACTGTTTCTTTAGAGCTGTTTCTGATTCTGTTATTCTACTTAAGCCTCTCGATTCTCATCTGAACTCACTGTTGTGAGAGCGCGCGCTCTCAAATGAGCGTATTTTCCTGCTCTGGATAGACTCAAATTGATTCGATCGGACAGCGATTGGCAAAGGTACTTATTTGCGAACAGCGATGACTTAAAACATTGGCACCCAGTTAAGCAAACACTCTCATGAGTCTTACGAGTAAACGTGACCTGTCGCTGCAGGGTGCCAACGGTCAATAGCGCTTGGGAGTCAGGTCAACCCTCCTAATTTTCGTCAACAATCGACGAAGCAACGCTTTTTTTTTCAAGTCATAATCTTGATCGAGTTTACTTTTTTTTAAATTTATCAATTCACTCTCTATATTTTGGGATTATTATTTCTTATGATGACCTACATTTTAATCTTATTTCTATACTTGAACAAAATAAACCTCGGTTCTTATTTCCTGCTTAACTTTTCAGTTTGGGCCAACAATATTTCCAGTCATGGCGACCAAGCCTCGGTTCATAGAACCCAAATTTTGGTAGCTGCATTGAAGACTGCATTTTCTCAGGACCTCCAGTTTTCTGCGGCCTTTGTCGTTCGATTTCAATGAGAGAGTCTTCAGAACCGAAAACTCAGGTGAGCCATAATCTTATTACATGCATCCGGTCAAAATCGATCGAAAACCATAATTGACTGATGAATTTTTTTACGGTTGCGTACATTTGACTGTATGTTTGGGATTTCATCACATAGTCTTTACGCAAAAATATAATCCCAACAGTTGCAAGAAAGGTTTTCCAACTGGATTCGAGACACTATATTTCATTAGTGTTTGAAATGTGGATAGGATTCTGCACGGTGGCAATATTTGTGATACAAATATATTAACTCTGGTGTGAGCGGTGAAGCATCGCGCGAAACTGAAGGCGTTTTCCAGTCATAGTCGTTTCTTTTTCCTTGTAGTTCCCATTATGGAATTTTTGAGAATGAGTAAAAAGAAATCGTTTTTGACTACTGACAGCAGTTTGACGCTGCTCACACCAGCGCGTGCCGTGTATACGGATCAAGTAAACCCCTTTGGTAAACCCCTCATCCCTCTCGTCATTTCTTCGAAGACGAGTGCGGATGTACCACGGTGGCGTGGCGTGCTTTGCGATTTATCGATTGATCCACCATTCAAACATATGAAAAATGATCGATAAATAGCGTGTTCACAACAAACACCTTAATAATCGGTTCTTCACCAGTTTCAAATGGGAAAATATCGATAATTGATCATTCACACCTTGCCACTGATGCACCAAAATTCAGTACATTTGTGCGAGCAATTGAATGTATCTCATGTCGATCCAATTTTTTCCGATTTATTATTTTAAATTTTTGTATTGTTTTAAGAAACCCGACGGAAATTAATAATTTGTCACGTATCAAAGCAATACCCCTACACAGAACTTTTTACCCTGGATTTAATTTAGAATTGCCGCGCCGGTCCCAAAAGGACTTTTAATATGTCACGGATACAATTTAAAGCGCACGTTTCCAAAGCATGTACATTAAAGTCCGTCAATCTCATCACTTTTCAGCGAATGCAAATCTCCAGAATAAGTTCGCCAGCAACGATTTTCGAAAATCCGATCTTCAGCTCCTCAAGACTTCGGGCCTACCCGTATATTCCATCGGATAATCCGACGTGGTACACTAGAAAAGAAAAAACACATTTGGTGTAGAGTCCAGACTCTTAAAAACATCGACAAGAAAAAGTACTCTTGATTCAATCAGAATCTAGCTTAAATCAAGAACCAAGCCTCTTAATTCTAGTGGATTTCGCTTTGTTTCAAGCAAAAATCCGATTGAATTTCTTCTCAAGGTTTTCAAGAGTCTGGACTCTAGATCCAATGTGCTTTTTTTTCCAGTGTACGCTACTTTCCGGGTCAGAAATTCGACGTCCCCTTTTTAATTGCATCCATTCGAACTTTCCAAAGCATGTACATTAAAATCTGTCAATCTCATCACTTTTTATCGAATGCAAATCGCCAGAATAAGTTCGTCGGCAACGATTTTCGAAAATCCGATCTTTAGCTCCCCCAGACCTCGGGCCTACCCGTATATTCCATCGGATAACCCGACGCGATACGCTACTTTCCGCGTCAGAAATTCGACGTCCCCTTTTTAATTGCATCGATTCGAACATTCCTACGCGCGGCCACAACGCCGCGCGGGGGAAAACAATTCAACGACGTGGGGAGGGGGGCCGAAGGGGGGGNGGGGGGGGGTAATATCGTAAATTAGGTTAAACATCGCAGGTAGTCATAGGAAAGTAGTTCGCACGTAACACAGATACGGAGTGAAGTTAGAGGGATGTTTAAGTCGGTCACTGTTCCTCCGCGGGGGGGTTGCACTGAGTGCTCTACCGCGACGCCACGGGAGGGGCGGCGGGGGGGGGGGGGGGNCGGGGGTGAGCGCCCCCCGCCCCACGAAAGGGGGCAACGGGCACCGGCGTTCACCCTGCACGCCAGTCGTGCTCTCCGAGCCCTCGTGCCGCCTCGACTTGATGTTCGTCTCCCGATCGCCCCGTCCGCGAGTTCGTGTTTCTCCCCGGCCCTCCCCTCTCCCCCGTAGTTTCCCTTAATTTCCATAATCCCCCCGCGCCCCCCTCCCCTCCCCCCGGTAGGATCTTTTTCGGGGCCGCATCAGTCGGCTCGGGGCTAATTATGAGCGGGGTAATGTCTGCCGTGGCCGGTCGGCAGCGCTAGGCAACGTTCCGTTTCCCCAACTCGGGTCCGCGCGGAAATCCCGGTGCCTCGTTCGAAAATGTAATAGTGCTCCTCTCCGCGCTAGGTTTTTCCTGTCTTGCTCAGGATTGTTATAATCCCAAATTGCTTCGGTCGGAACGTGTGGAATTTAACGTTTTCCGGTGAGTTTGGCTCCGGTTCCTTTTTGGGGTGGTAAAATTTATTACGTGCGCCCACGCATGTTTGCATGGATTTTTGAAGTGTAAAAGCCCCAGTCTAATCTGCCGTGCTAAGGAAGAACGCCGTATGAGCCTTCAGGCGTTGTCAGATTTCCCTTGATAAAGCATGTATTTTCGACGACCTTCTTGGATATTTTTCCTTGAAATTTTCAGATTTTTAAGATCAAATTGCGCACCGAATAGTCTGAAAATTTTGGAAAATAATATTCACAATTTTCCCAGTAAATTCGGTTTTTATCGAAGGAAATTTGGCAACGCCTGAAAGATCATACGGCGTTCTTCCTTGGCACCGCAGTAATACCGTCGTGCTTTGATATAAAGCCGCATGAGCATTCAAATGTTTCCAAATTTCCTCTTCGAAAATATTTAATATTGAGTAGTCATGAATATTTGGACCGCGTTAGGAAGAAAGGAGGAAGCGTCACCAGCTTTTGCCAAATTTTATTTTACAATTTAATTTTTACATTCAAACGGTTGTAAGGATTTTTTTCCAAATTTCAGTAAATTTTCGGCAGAGTACGAAGCATATTTTTTTTATAATTTTCAGAGGAATCCGCACAGATGATCTTTTGTAAAAAATTGAATTACCCAGTTAAATTTGGCAGTAGCTGATGTTGCTTGGTTCCTTTCTTTTAAACGCAGTCTATTTTTCCTTGGAATTTTCAGACTTTTTAGATCAAATTACGAACGGAATCTCCGAAAAATCGGAGGAGATTTATTCACACATTTTCCCGGAAATTCGTGATTTATCGAGGCAAATTTGGCAACGCCTGGTGGCTCATACGGCGTTCATGCTTAGCACGGCAGTATGGTCAAAGTAAGCATTTTGTTAAATGTCTAGGCTGTAAGCTACTTATTCTACTTTAGGGCGCAATACTGAAATTTTGCGTAATTTTCAGCAGAAAATTGTCCCAAGTATATTTTAACATCGTTTGTAACATTTCTGGTTGTTCTTGATATTTTTTAGTGAATTTAATTGGTCACCTATCTGAGTGTTTTCTGCTCGTATGAAACGGTAAATTATCTGTCATTTTGTCACCAATGCAAAACTTATTTCTTCGTGCATGAGTATGAAGCTTTAAGGTATTCCCAGATTATCTACATGCAACGTCTAATTTTCATCAGATAATAAGTAATTCCTTTAAGTTTATTTTTTTAAAAAAAGAATAAAAAGTGGAGGCTCCTCAATTTTACTCAACCGGGTACCCAACCGTGATGAGAAGTATACCAACTTGGTTTTTTTCAATGGATCTGCACCAGCTCATTTCGGACCAATGCTGAATTCCTTTCTTTTTTGTACTTCTTTTACATGAAAATGAATGAGCTTTTCAATCTTAAACCAAATAAATAATAAAAAAAATGCACCATCTGCGGGAAGGGGGGGGTGCTTCAAAACTATTCAGAAAAAGTTCCCCAGGAAGAAATTTTCATCGGATAGGGTCAACATCACAACACTTCAGTTTTCGACAAAAACATTCTTCACTTTATTATATCACAAAGATTCAGTTCCATAAAGTAATTTTTTTTTTTTTTTTTTTGCCCGAGACGACTAAGAATAAAACAAAGTTTGTCAAATCTCAAGTCGTAGAACTTGGAAATAAAGACTTTAAGCAACTTTTCCATAATTTTGTTTTTTGAATTATAAATTTCAAACCGCTATAACTATACGGTCTGGTTTGAAATCATTGGGTGTTTTATGTTCCAAAATATTTATGAAACCCCCTCCCCTCCACTCATTAGTATTCTTAATTCAAACTCGAATTATTGCCTGTTAAAATCCTTTCCCTGTGGATAGTTACCCGTTTTTAATTTGTTTCAAAGAGAAACCACCAATAAAGGCATGAAGATACTCGACAAATCCGTACTAGCTTCTCTGCAAGGCCTTATTGAATTTTTTATTTTTTCTCTTCTTTTCCTATATGAATAAATCAAATTAAAGGCAGTGAATGAACTTCCCCCGCAAAATTGAAATTGATATTTTTCCTTTGAAGCAAAATATAACATACCGTACAATTTAACGCCAAGAACGAAGGAAAATATTGATGGCGGAGGTACTATACCACCTATCTGCAAACTGACAATTTTGCAGGACGAAGAGGAAACTTCAACATTTTGGTAATTTAGAGGTTCGATATTTTCATATAGTGCAGAGTCGTTGCAGTGTTTTCCCACAGAATTGGAAAAAAAACTAAAATCATCATCTTGCGTATTTTATACTGGAGAATGCTGCTCAGTCGCTAGCTCACTCTTGCCAAAATTGTCAGTCAGGCGATGCTGTTCCATCGCCCTCGATTTACGAAATATAGAGAACGAAAGTATTTGTAACCACATTCTTCCAACTTTGGATGGAAGCGTGACCAAGCGTTTTAGGCCCCGCGATGCCGCGTAAAAATTGATGATGACGTCATAAAATACGATCTCAATCAAGCATCATTTAATTTATCGGCCGAGAGGGCAGGGAGAGGCTAGGCTGTTTATAAAAGTCATCAAATCGGACCAAATCCTATTTGAAAGGCATTAGGACGAGGGTCGGTGCTGCTTCTCCGGTCTTTACGCCCTTTTAAGGATCTGTAAAACTGTGTCGGTTGTATCCCTTTATTCCTATTGAGAGGATTTTCCGAGCCCGTAAATATTTCAGCCGGCCCGGGCAGCGAATAACATCATGGGACCTACTATTCCTCCGAATGGATGAAATAATGATCCGCACATTGTTGCCATTTTGTTAGTGAATTTGAGTATTGCATGTCCTTCCTGTTCTGCCGTGCTAAGGAAGAACGCCGTATGAACCTTCAGACGTTGCCAAATTTCATTCGATAAAATGTTTATTTTTGAGGAAAATTATAGATTTTTTCCTATGAAAATTGCAGACACTTTAGATTAAATTACAAACAAAATACTTGATGGTCTTGCTAAGTTGTATTATAATAAATTTGGAGCTTAAAAATCACTTTGTACAATGGACTTGCGTTGTAAGCAAGCCATCTAAATAAGTTGAAAGTAGAAACTTTGCGGGATAAGGGGGATGTCTTAAGTCAATTTTTTTTTTTTTTTTTTTTTTTTTTTTTTTTTTTTTTTTTTTTTTTTTTTTTTAGTTTTTTTTTATTTTTTTTCCACAGTTGAAAGTAATTACTTACATTAAGAAGTGTCAACGTCTACAAAAGGCGATGCAGCGTTCACATTTCTTTTTTACTATTATGATGACTTTTTTCAGAGAAAATCTTAAAATATGCTTAAAAAAAATTTAAAATAATCAATACAAATTAATGATAACCCATTATGGGGTTCTTTTCTAGGGCAACTCGAATGTACTAAATATTTCAACGAAAAAATATTCTTACCACGGCTACTTTACTTTTTCATTTACGAAACAAGTGACAATACTTGACAGGACGCACATGTTTTTCGGTCTGTTCATAAAAACAACGGGGGCCCAACAACCCACGGAATTAGGAAGTTAAGTTGTAGAGATAAATCTTGCTGGGCTCGCCACACATTCTTGTCACATTCTGAGGACTTAAAGGTTTATTCAACTTCGATTATCACACTAACGGAGGCAGGGGGTCCCGTAGGATCCCCGCTCCCTCCTTCCGAAGAAACACGAAACATGGTATGACTGTAGGCGTTTGATATTGTTGTATCGATCACAGAAAAAATGAAACGTGTAGGTTGTAGGATCATAATGACACACAGCCTTTTTTTCGAATTTCAGGAAATCGAGGAAAACAATTTTTTTATTGGTGTGATTAATTTTAGCTTAATTATATTTCGGGGCCGATATGATTAGACCAGAAAATTTTAAAAGCCCACGTAGATATTATTATTTTAATTTCCTAATGACTTTGTTCATTTTTGATTCCAACTTTTTTCACCACCATACGTCTCACTGCTCTTTTAAACCCAACTTTTCCATGGCGTAATTTTATACATTATTTCTGAAGACACGGTTACCTTGGAAACTTACAAACTATTGAATTCTTACTCGAGGCTCCCATTTGAATCCAATTTTTCCAGCTTTCAAAATGTTGGGGGCAAATTCCCCTCCTAAACCTCGATCGAGTTTTTTCTGTTTATTTTATACATCTGACTTAAAATTCACTATTTACTGGTAATATTATCTCGATTCCTTTGAAAAGTGCCCTCCTACTCTTTTATCGTATGTCCTTCAAGAAGAATTCGCGTGCACATGCACAAGCACATGCACATTCCTCCGCCAGACTATTTTTGGGCTGAATGCATTGATGTAGGGAACTAATGAAGAGCAATTCGGCCACGTGTGGGCACGGCGTGAAATCCTGCGCCTTTACGGTAATGCAACGCGTCCTCTTGTAACATCAACGCAAGAATAATTTACAACTGGGCGTGCACCGATCGTTTCGTGCAATCAACTGTAGCCACATTTCGTCACGAAACGCCCCTATTTCCCCTTGATGTGCGTCGACTGTCTCACCGTGGAATCTCATTTTCCTAAAAACCATTCCAAGAATATGCGAAGCGCTTGGAGGACATGATGCACAAGTACATTTTTTGCTATTTCGAGAAATACGCTCTGGAAAAAAAAACACATTGGATCTAGAGTCCAGACTCTCAAAAACTTTGACAAGAAAAATACTCTTGATTCAATCGGATTGTTGCTTAAATCAAGAACCAAGCCTCCTAATTTGAGCGGATTTCCTTTTGATTTAAGCTTAAATCTGCTTGAATCAAGAGTTTTTTTTCTTGTCAATGTTTTCAAAAGTCGGGACTCTACATCCAATGTGTTTTTTGTTTTTTTTCCAGTGTGTGTTTGAAGTTTCGAAATTGCATGGATCCTCATGGCGAAAAGGGGGATTCAAACTCTCTTTTTGATGCTTAAAAATCGAAATTTGGGAGCCAATTTTTCAAAGAATATGCATTGAAACTAGTTTTACATGAAATCATTAATAACTCAATTGCTCCAAAAAGTG